CATATATTGCATATAGTTGCTCTCATTGGCTGGTGGGCATGGCTTAAGGCATAGCAAAGGTACGGTCAATTTGCATGTTTGTCTTTTATTAGATTAGATGATGTTTAGAAATCAGGATCTGGAGTGGGCTGTGCTCATTGTTACTGGGGTGTTTGCTTCTAGGCCCTCTCCATGGACAGAGCTGGGCAACATGTGCATGTGTATTTATGTGTTTACTAACCCATGTATACACATACATCTATAATTGTTTTTGTGTCCATTACATATTAATCTGTTCATTCTTAATCTGATTTTCTTAGCATGTATAAAATGATGTGCCATGTAAAATATGTGCTAGCCACTTTATTAAAGTCAGAAATGTAGCTTTTCTTCTTAACTGAAATGCATAATGGTGAAGGTGGGTTTGTTCACCTTTGGTAAAAAGGCATATTTTACCAAACAGCATCTTGAATTATTTTTAGTTTAAAGCATGCAAGTCAAGTAGGAATTTTTATTAAGAATATACTGTTTAGTTAATGGTAGGTGCCCATGTACTTAGTGTATGACTTCCAGGCTTTTGGAGCATTCTTGGATCTATATTACATTGCATCTAAAAATGTAAAGAGATTTCTTCCAGTAGAATTGCACAATGATTGATCCTAAAAAACAATCAAATTTAGTACTCTGCACTTACAAATATGACATTCTAGAAATTGGCTCGTTAGTTATTTCCCTAAGGAAAATCATAAAAAGGTGGTAAGCTTTCCTAGATGAAGAAACTCTGAGATTCTCTGATTCTCATAATCAAAGTTATTGCTTTTTTAATGTTAAAGTCTTTCAGTCAATTCGATTTTGAAGCCTGTGAGAAAAGTTGGAGTCATGTCTTAGGAAAGGAATTTTTGAGACCGTATAATTGTATCTCAGGCTTATTTTTTCTCTTTAGCTGGTACTGAAAACATAACAACCTCCCTGCTAAGAAAAAGGGAGTGTTGTGGAAGGGAAGAGATCAGTATCTTTGGGTTCACAGACCTTTTGGTAACTTAAAGGGAGGCCTTAGAATGACTGAACTCTCCCCTTCCTCCCTCCCAAAAGGAATAGGTTATTTAGTTATTCATTACAGCGGTGTGGTGGAGTGGGAAACATTCTCAGTAGATTTGGGGTGGATTTTATTTACTTCTTTTGTTAGCCTTGGAGTTGCCTTATGATGAGCATTCCTCTGACATTTGTCATGTCTAAAGCACTGTGGTATCTCATTTGCAAAATTAGGAATGAAATTCAAGCTAATTTCATTTCTTATTTAAAATCTGGTTTACAATGGATGAGGGAAGATGTTTATTTTTATGACAAAATGTAAGATATTTATATAGTTTGTTGATTTTGTTTCTTCCTGTCTTTTCATTGCCATTTTATGACATAATTTTTAAAACTTTAATATTCTAAATGGGATAACAAAAGGGTATTGGAAATAATTCTAGAGGTTTTCAGACTCAGGCTGACATGCACTTCTTACATTTTCTTCTAACTTTTGCCTTTTATTTTAAAGAACAGTGTTGTTGTTTTTTCTCAACTCAATTTTATTTAAAATAATGGCCTTAAGAAACTGTGTGTTGAACAAAATTTAATTAAGATATGTTTGTCTTAGTGGAATGTCTAAGCTTCCTTCAATGCACAGAAAAGTTCCTTACAACAAAAATTGTCTGACTCAAATTGTCAACAGTGCCAAGATTGAGAAGCTGTGTCTTATTTTTTCTGGTTACTTACAAAATTTCCTCATTACTTTTTATTTTCCAGTGATATGCCTTTTTCCTTCCTGGGATGGATTTTAATTCCCTCTTACAAGACACTATCTTTCTATCCATTTGATTATGTTCTCATCTTTTTTGTTGAACATATTCATCATAGTTACTTTGATGACATAGTTACTTTTTGAATGACTTCTGGATTTGTGTCCCTTGATCATTGGCTACTTGTCTTGCTTCTTTGCCTGTCTAGTAATTTTTAATTGTATGTTGAACATTGTGAGTGAAAATATAATAGGGGCTGTGAATTATTTTTCCTTTGAAAGATGTTGAATTTTTTGTTCTGATAGGCAGTTATCAGCTCTTCACTTTTATCCTATCTAGGCCTAGTTTAGTGTTTTGTTAGGTTTGGTCTATTTTAGTTTTACTTATATGTCTAGGGTGTGACCCTTCTTCCTAAGGTGTGGCCTTTGTCGGGTTACAACTGAATGTCTGAGGTCTTACACTGAGGTCTCTCAGCTTTGGCTGGGCTCCAAATCCCAACAAGTTTCTAGAACTGACCTTTGGAACCTCAGCTTCCTGGCACCTGTTTCCGATAGTGTCTCCTATTTTCCTCTGAAGCTCTGCAGTCTTGGAGATGATCAGGAATTGACAACATTTTCTAAGCAGACTACTGGGGTTCCTTTTCCATGGCTAACTCCTATCTACAGCCTGTCCCTCCAATCCTAGCCACCTTTCCCTAGACCTGTGGTCTCTGTTCCCTCTACCCAGTGAGATCACTGGTCTATGTTTGACTCGGTTTAATATACAACTCCCAGGAAATGCTTCCAGGGGACATTCTTGGGGGATATACCTCATGTTTCTCTTCTTGCAGGGATTCTAGCCTTATTTTGATTATAGCCCATGCTTACAAACAGTTGTTTTATATATTTTATCCACATTTTAAAGTTATTTATGAATGGACATTAATTCTCAGACTAGCTATTCTCCATCATCAGAATCTGAAGTCCCTCCATTTTTTTTAATAGATTAACTGATTTTTAAAGTTCAATATATTATTTTTTATTTATTTTATTCTAGAAAAAGCAATTTGGTTTGCTTGTCATTATGGAGTAAGTTCTATATTTCATAGAAATAAGTGTTAATTGGGAAAACAGCTTATGTTACTTAACTTACTACACATTACTTGGTATCTTAATTACCCGTTGTTTTTTTTGTGCTTAAAGGAATCATTTGTTGCAGCTTGCCTCAGAGTCACCACCCATTTCTCCTGCTTCCTCCTCTTCAAAGAATATTGCTGCCAAAGCCCATACTCCTGTAGCCTTCAAACAGCCTTTAAAGCAAGGAAGCAGGTTAATGGAGAATTTCTTGATCAGAGAAACTAGTGGTTCTACATCAGAATTGATAAATGAGAATGAAAGCAAAGTCAACCCTCAAAAGGAGGTGAGCAGTTCTGCAAAGACCAAAGAGACACCTTCTTTAGAAAGGACAGCTTCATGTATCGCGGGTGCTAATGTTCCTGAGGCACCCTCTACATCGACTTTGAAACAAGTTACTAAAGGTAGGAAATGATTTTCGCGTGTATTTTCTTACTCAGTGGGAATCCTCTCATCCTGCATTCCAGATGAATCGATAAGCAGCATTTTAGACTCGATCCAGAGCCTAACCACTCTTTGGTTTTGTTAGATAATATTGATAGCTTATATCACTAAAATGTGACAGCACATGTTTTCTGGACCATGTGTATAATTTGCTAACTTTTTGATGAGAAGGTCAGCTTGTTTAGCCTATTGTTTCATGTCTGTTCTTGCCAGTGAAGCTTAAAGGACCCTGGGTCTTTAGACATAGCACACACAGTGCAGGCTATTAGTTGTTATTAAATTTATATTGACATTATTAGTAGCAAGTATTTAAAGTTCATAAGGGTATGTGAATTTTACCTGCGTTTCCTAGCATACCTTATATTTGGTCAGTCTGTCAATTCACAGTTCTTATGGTAGTGTTTATAGCTTGATAGTTAGTTTTTTTCCTTTAGCAACATTATTTTTTTCAAATGAAATCTTACAAGGAACCATAACTTGAAAAAGAGATACAATAGGCCTTGCAGCCTTAGAGATGTGCTGCTCCACCTGCTCTTCCCCTTTGTCCCTACCTGTTACCCAGAGTGGCTGCTAGGCCCCCAGACACTGCCACACATCACCACAATCCATGAAACAGTTGGAGAATGATTGCGTTTTCCTAATTTTACAAGTGAGAGCTAAATTAACCATTTGTAGCCATGGATAAATTGAGCAGTAATTGGCTTAAACCAGTAAATGCTTTGATCTAGCTGCACCATCACCCCTTCACCCTGCCCCCAGCCAAGTGTGTCTTCCTCAGGTGTTATGATTACTTCAGAGCTAAACATGCAGGTTATCTCAGCTATATACTTTTCATGTCTAGAAGTTAATTTTTAAATACCTTCCATTTCTCTCATGCTTATGCTTTTCTATGTTTTCTTTACTATATTGCATCTTACTAATAAAAGCCTAGGTGGTCCTCAACAGTGTCATAAGATGGCTGTGCGCACAGCTGGGCAGGTCCCGGTGGCTGCTCTGCACGGCTTCCGCCGGGATTCCCGTGGCCCCTTGCCCACCACAGAGGCGGGACTCCCGTCTCTGGCCTATATCTTTGGGGCAATCATTGAGGAGCCCTGGATGGTTGGGTGGGGCCTACCTCTTTGGGGCAATTGATCACGGGGTTCCCACACTGAGGGAGAATCTGCTTCTGAATGTGGGCCCAAATTATAAACAACCGCAGAGAAACAGCTTATATTGTGATCCCCCCCCGCCCCGAGTGCATGAATTTTGTGCATTAGGCCTCTAGTTTTCTAATAAACACATTTCTAAACTTTTCTGCAGTATCTTCGTCTAGGCCCAGGATTTGAATTAGGTGACTTTCCACAATTCAGTCATTACCTAGTAACCTGTCTGTCCCACTCCTGTTGGCTGGAGATGTCATTCCTTTTCTCTTCTGCTTTTCTAAGTACACGTTCATGTTGGCATTCTGTTTTGTATCTTAATCTCTGAAAGATGCCATGTTATAATATTTTTGACCATTTTACAAGAAATAAGGTCTTTCTTTCTTAAAAAAAAAAATACAGTGGAATGTCCTGTGTGCGGGGTTGGTATTCTAGAAGATCACATCAATAAGCACTTGGACAGCTGTTTATCCCGTGAAGAGAAAAAGGAGAGCCTCAGAAGGTAAGAAAGTTAAGCATAACCATTGAGCCGCTTTAGCTGGGTGCTTCATGTGCTTTATAAATTTGGGGCAGAAAATATAATGTTCACTGTATCCTAGTGACCAGTTGTCCAAGTCCCTCTCCCATATGCTCTTTCCTTTACTTCTGTCAGTTGACGCTTCCATTCCCTTTGCCAAATAGGATTAACTATTGAATTTAACTGCTAATAAAATTTGACTTAACAAGAAATTAGTGACTTAGGATTAAATTTTATTTTAACTTGTTCTCTTCCCTCAGAACTTTATTTTATTTTTTTATATATTTTTTATTGATTTTTTACGGAGAGGAAAAGAGAGGGATGGAGAGTTAGAAACATCAATGAGAGAGAAACATCGATCAGCTGCCTCCTGCACACTCCCTATTGGGAATGTGCCCGCAACCAAGGTACATGCCCTTGACCGGAACCGAACCCGGGACCCTTGAGTCCGCAAGCCGACGCTCTATCCACTGAGCCAAACCACTTAGGGCATTCTTCCCTTAGAACTTTAGAACTACCATAAAGCCCCTTAGCCAAAGAAAGCAATGTTAGACTCTGAATATAGAACATATAAAATCCTTCTTTGGTTCTTAGGATGCTCGTAAGTTTTATAATTTTTAAAAAAAGTTTCAAAAACTTTTTTCCAAATAGGCAATTATCTATATATAACATTAAAAGGCACAAAAGGGTATGTGTGAAATGGAATGCCCTCCTGCCCCAGCCTCCAACCACCAGGGGGCATAGGTAGTAAGTAGTCAACTCATTGTTTGCACCCAAACTTCTGTTTTGCCTCCTTCATATATCAAAGTTACAGTAATTTATTGATGTAGGCCACTGTTGTTATGCATACAAATTGTTTGGGAATGAAATTTTAGTCAAAGATATATTTCAGGGTGTTAGGGAATCAGAGGTTAATGAAGATGATAAGCAGAAGCTGCAAAGTAGAGGAGTCTGGTGATGAAGGAAAGAAGAGAGATGAAATGATAGTCTGGGAAAGGAGTATGTAAACATCAAGATCAAAGAAGATTTTATTTTTTAAAATAGAAATTGGTTAAACTTTTAGTCTCTTTTTCCACTGTCTCCAGGGAGAGATCAGATGATAGATGGCACAAGATTGTGATTATAAGAGATTAAGAGTCCAGTCATGAAGTTGTCCTTGATGTGTAGAAAGAATTCTTCTTCTGAAGGGAGGGGGACGGGCAGTAGGTGATAATTCAGAGAGATTTGGAAAAGGAGATGAGGGGAACTGAAGAAATTGATGGTAGCTGGGAGTGGGGTGAATAGAATGATTGGCTCTTACTGTTTGGTCTGTTTTGAAGGACTTGGAAGAGTATTTTCCAAAAACCATATTAATAAGGCAGGACCTTTTACTGTTTTATTGTGATTAAAGATAAAATGGTGTCACAATTTTTATGAGTAAATATGGAATGAAGTCAGATTCCAGGGGAACAAACTCATGCCGTTATAACTTACAAAAGGTAGTATATGCAGCATGATAATGCTTTATTAATTTACAGTGGGAGCATTAATTGACAGTTCTTATTGTGTTTTTAGTTTGAGAGTTGATAGCACTTTTTTCAAGTGAAATCTTACTGTGACCTAAAACATATAAAATAGATAAAATTGGCTGTGCTGCATTTAGTAGAGATGGAGGGCCTGGGGCTTGTGCTGCTTCACCTGACCTCCCCCTTCGTCCCTGCCTCTCACCCATGGTGGCCTCTAGGCCCCCAGGTGCCGCCACAAATTCCTACGCAGTCTGGTGTGCACAGCACTCCCTCCTAGTGGGAAAATTTGTTGACAAGAATAAAATTTAGATTTTTTTTCAGGTTACTTTGTTAGTTGAGGTTTGGAATAAATGAAGCTGGGTCATCCCAAGGATTATTTCCCATAAGCCATGAGAACCTGATGACCTGCGTTTCTCTTTAGAAATGTTTCTTCCTAAAGGAAGAGTTGGGAATATAGAGGCTGAGCATTTTCTCCTTGAAAAGTTAGGAATCAACATGGATACCTTGCTTAGACTGCTGTTTTACTAGATGCATCCATCATATTTCTTCTAACACATTTAACTCTTTCAATTAATCCAAAGTCATACGCACCCATGTATCATTAAGTTCAAGTTCTGCTGGTTGTTCCAACCCTGCTCCATGGGATGCTATGGTCCTGCCAGTTGCTCTGTGTGCTGCTGAGAAGCACTGCAAACCGAGTCTCTCTCTCAGGACGACTGTACAAGTTCGTGTATTGAAGGCTCTGAGAAGTCCTACGTTAAAGGTCATTGTTGGATTTTTCTTTAATCCAGTACCTTCTAAATTTATTTCACTCCCAAACCTATTTGTCCTCATAACCCTTATCTTGGGAAACTAGTGTTTGTGAAGATGGACTTAGGGAAACATTGAGCCACATTTCTCTTTAAAGAAGTTACATCTTGGTCCTGGGGTCTGTTCACATAAAAGAGTCTGACATGTGAAAATTCTTCTCCACGACACCCTGACAGGCCGTTCCTCGATGTGGATGCCCACCCTTATCCATTCTGTGTAGATTCATATCAAAGTTGATTCAAAGAATGCTCTTTCTTTTGATGTCTTCAGATTCTCAGGACTCTTAGTGCATTATTCCATTTCACTAAATCATGAAAGAAGGATCAATGTCATTTTCATGTTTTGGGAAACATTTATCAGGCTTTAGATTTAACATTCTTGGTAGAAATTGTTGATTTCTGCTGGTGCTTTTCATTGCAAATGCCAGCAAACAGTACAGTTTTTCATTAGAATTTCATAGTCTTAAGTTAATCATTTATCCTTGATAAAATAAGTATTTTAGATATACAGACTTAGTGAGTTGTTCCTCATAATGTGATTGTATAAACTCATACAGAATGTTTCAGCTCTGACTGCCTACTGAGGTTTTATTTAGCTATAATTATTTCAGTCTCATTGAGTTCAATAGGCTGTCTGTTATAACAAGTGCAATTTTCAGAAAAAAAAATATAATCTGTTGAGGGTTTACAAGTCTTTCTGCAGTTAAATAGTTATCTCTGGCTTTTAGACTTTATTAGAATATAAAAGAAATAATTTATCCAGGGAATAATTTAGTAGAGAAATGTCTGTTTTCAGTCTATATATAACTGTACCATATCTCTCATTATGTTCTTTACTATTTGGACCAGCTTTAACCTGTGAAACATTATTAATATAGATTTACGTCTCCACTTTAGGACCAAGTGAGGTGGGGGTGGTGTGGAGAAGTGACAGAATCTGCATTCTAAATAAGCTCTTCGGGAAGGCTCTGAGATACACTCGAATTTGGGTAGCATGGCCTTTTGTTAATAGGTATATGGAAGTCCTTTGTGGTGTGTGTTTTTTTTAAATAAACCTATTGCTTTCAACTTCCTATTAATTTTTTCCTGAACCTTTGATGGTCTTGTTTAAAAATGATTTGTACCGACTGCCTATTTATTAAGCATCTAAATGCCATAGTGTTGAGTGAGGTGATGCACTCGGAGAAACAGATTACAATCAAATTAAAACTCATTAACTTGTTCACATTTATAAAATTGCCTCAAGTTATTGTTACCCATAGGTAGCTTAACTTCCATTCCATTTTAACAAATAATGTTTATTAACAGGTATTTTGGAGGGAGTAAAATAAAGTCATTTTATAGGGCTTTGTTATATTTAAAATTGTATCTTAGTGCTGATCAGTATATTAATTATGAAAAAAGAATGAAGAGTTAGGTGGTGATTTTGCTAATACACTTCTTGTAATGCCTTATATATTTGTTAGTATAATTAATGTAAGTTGAAGAGAACAAACCCCTGTTGCGGTTTTTGCTGTTGTTTTCAGTTATGTTCTTTTAAGATGATACTACAAGAATATCCTCTACCTGTCAATTTTCTGAATTCTCTTTTCATTAGTGGCAATGCGTTGGGTAAAGCTAATCGTCCCAACAGGTGTTATTTTATTTCGCCTACTGCTTTTGCAATATGATTGCCTTGGGTTTGAGGGGCATTTTTGCCTGTGGATCAAAACTTCTTCTAGAGAAGCTGTCTTCTATAATAATAAAAGCGTAATATGCTAATTAACCGGACCAGACCAAGCCGTGGCAGGTGGGGGCTGAGGCAGAGGCAGCTGCTGCAGTGGTGGGGGCTGAGCCCCTTGCATGAATTTCGTGCTCGAGCCTCTCTAGTATATGATAATAATGTTAAATCCATAGCTTAATACTCAATAGCATTTGTACTCTAATCATCTGATATAACTGGCTTTTATAGAGCTTTTGCATGGAAACCATAGGCACATTTTAGGAAAAGCATGCTTTAAAGAGATAGAGAATTGCATAAGTCTATGTAAGTATGGTTCTTGGTGAAGTTCTCATAGCATTTAGTTCACAAGCCTTCTATGTGAGGCCCAGGTCTGCATCTTTAGGACTGACCTTTCTGAGACCTAAGTTTCTCTTAAGTTTGCTGTCACCTAGACCCCTCAATCTGAATGTCCCACTGGCACCTCAGATGGGTCATGTTGAACACTTTAAACTTTATTTGTAAATTTCATCCTTTTTCCCCCCCATTTTTATCTTAATGGTCGTGTTCTCTCAGGAGTCAGAAGGTAAATTACTATTTTACATGAAAAGCATTTGATGATTCACAATAACCCTTAGTGATCTTTTTTTCCCCTTTTTAGTTCTGGTCACAAAAGGAAGCCGCTGCCCAAAACTGTATATAATTTGCTATCAGATCGTGATTTAAAGAAAAAGCTAAAACAGCATGGATTATCTATTCAAGGAAATAAACAACAGCTCATTAAAAGGCACCAAGAATTTGTTCACATGTATAATGCCCAGTGTGATGCTTTGCATCCTAAATCAGGTAAAGCAATAAAACAATGAGTTACGTGTGTCCTGGATAAAGCCGTTTGTATAGCTCAGGGATTATAACCATAGAAAACACTTTTTAATAGGTACATTTTTGAAAATAGGTAAGACATGCAAATGCATTCCTTCAGAAGGTACTAGATATACTATGATAGCCAGTCTCAGTCCCCATTCCCTTCTCAGAAGCAGTTACTGCTGCCAGTGGCTTATGTGTCTTTCCAGAGAGAGTGTGGGGTAGAGTTGATCTAGAGAACCTGGGTTATAGTCCCATCTTTGCAGTTCTAAGACTGAGTGACTTTGGGCAAGTGCCTTAAGTTCCTTATCTCAGTTTTCGAATCCATAAAATAAGGGTTATGACACTACCTACTTCATAGTGTTTTTGAGAGGAATAGATGAAAAAAATGCATATAAAATGCCTAGCATAGTGCCTTAGCAAGTAGTGTTCAATAATTGTTACCATTATGATTATTATAGATAAACATATGTCCTTGATCATTATTGTCTTAGAAAATAGTTAGTATTTTATAGTCAGACGCCACAGAACATTTTGGTTAATGATGGGTCACAGATAGGACAGTAGTTTCTTAAGATTGTAATGGAGGTGAAAAATTCCTATGGCCTAGTGATGTTGTAGTTGTTGAAATGTCATGTTATGACCTCATAATGCAATGCATTACACAAATACTTACCATTATGTTATAGTCGCCTAGTAACATGTACAGGCTTGTAGCTTAAAAGCAATAGGCTATATCATTTAGCGTAGGTGTGCCGCAGGCTTTACCATCTAGGTTTGTGTAAGTGCACTCTGTGATATTTGCACAACAGAATCGCCTAATGGCACATTTCTCACAGCGTATCTTTATTAAGCAGTGCATGACTATTTAATATTAAGCAGTACACACTATTTAATCATTTGTTCCTTTCACTTAACCACACACATATTTCAGTTAAAAAAAATTAAAGTATACTATGCGAACAGAAAAATACACAAATTATAAGTATATTGTTTGGTGAATTATTATGAAATAAGTTTCACAAAGGGCAAATGTCTTTGTATACTACTCAGATTACCATCAACATCCAGAAGCCCCTGTCCTCCCCTCCCAATTACTGTCACCTTCGTTCTCACAGATGATCACTATCTTGACCACTATATATTTATTTTGCCTGTTTTAGCTTATAATTTATCTTTATAAATGGAATAATAGATAGCTTATATAAGTTATTTGAATCTGTATTTGCACACACATGTTGTAAAATATGTGTGTGCAACATTATGTTTATAAGTTTCATTCATGTTTTTGTGTACATTTGTGATTTTGTTGTTGCTGTAGAGTATTCTACTGTATCTCACTATTCATTCAATGGTTGGTGGACATTTGGATTTTTCCACTCTTTGGCTCATCATAATTATGCTGCTATGAATAATCTTTGTGTATCTCTGTATATTCAGGCACACAAATTTTTTGAATATATATACCTAGGAATGGAATAGTATGTTTTTGCAGATGTTCAGCTTTTGTGGATACAGCCAAGAACTCAGTGCCAATGTACATTGTCATCAGGAGGATGTGAGAGTTCCAGTTTTTCCACATTCTTAACAACATTAGTATAGTCAATTTTCCATTTGGGCTCTTCTAATGGATCCATTTGAATCTTTCATTATGGTTTTAATTCACATTTCCCTAATGATTTATAATGTTCAGCACATTTTTATATGGTTACTGGTCATCTGGATATCCTCTTTGGTAAAATATCCATTTAGGTCTTATGGCCAATTTTTCTATGCTGTGGATCTATTTTTTCTTATTTGTGGGAGTACATGAAATTTTCTGGATACACATCCTGCTGTATGTATATATATTAAATCCCTTCTTCCATTTCACCTTTTCATTGTTAATGGTTTCAGTTGAGAAGAAGTTCTTAATTTCAATATAATCCAATTAGTTGCATTTTTCTTTTTGGTGTATGCTTTTTATATCCTTGCCTACCACAAGATCATGAGGATCTTCTCTTGTTTTCGTCTAAAAGTTTTATTGTTACTGCTTTTACATTTTGACCTACAGTTTATCTGAAATGATTTTACATATGTTGTTAATTGCGGAGCAAGATTTTTGTGTGTGTGTTTTTTCCATATAGATAGCCATTTGACACAGCATCATTTATTGAAAAACCATTCTTAACCCAGTGAATTGTCAGTATGTCTTCGTTGGCAATCAGCTAACTATATGTGTGTCTTGACATTGTTTGTTGAGTCATTTATTTATCAGCAGTGTACTGTCTTAATTTTAATTTATAAGAGATCTTACTGTCTGGTAATGTACTTCCTCCAGCTTTGCTGTTTATTGAGATTGCCTCAGTTTTTTTAGGCCCTTTGCATTTCTATATAAATTTTAGAAGAAGCTTGCAAATTTCCATCAAGAAAAAACCTGCTTGGGTTGGGATTACATTGAGTCTATAGATCACTTTGGGGAAAGTTGATAGCTGTACTGTATCTTCCAATTCATGAATTTAGTTTATCTCCAACCAACCGAGGCACCTGGCCAGGACATTATGTGTGTATTTTAGAAATTGAGGTATAATCTGCTTATGTAATTAATCATTTTAAAGTGTATAGTTTAATAAATTTTGACAAATGTATATATAGTCATTTAGCCATCACTTCAGTTAAAATTATGCACCCCCAGAAGTTCTTCTGCCTCTTTGCAGTAAATTTGGGAAATACTGATTCTTTTATGTCCCTGAAGTTTTGCCTTTTCTAAAATGACAGATAAATGGCATTAATACAAATGGTACAGCATATCGTTTTTGTATCTGGTTTCTTTCACACAGCACAGTGCTTTTGAGGTTTGTCCCCGGAGTTGCATTTATTGTATGGCAGTATTGCATATTAATAGATGCCTAGTCTGTCTCCAATTTTTGGCTGTTATGAGTAAAGCTGTCATGAACATGGGCTTATAGATTTTTGCATTTCTCTGTGATAAATACCCAGGAGTAGAATTGCTGCGGCATGTGGGTTATATATACTTAAATATATAAGAAATTGCCAGCCTGTTTTTAATGGCTACATCATTTTATCTTCTGTGAGATAGCTCTTTTCAGCCTTTAACTTGTTTTTAGGACTGAGTGGCAACTTCCAGGCTTTTTACAAGCAGAGCTGGAAACTGGAAGTTCATTTCATTTAAATGAAATCATAAAATAGTTGGCTTTTCTGTGACTGACTTCTTTCACTTAACATATTTTCAAGGTTTTTCCATGGTCAGTACCTCATTTTTTTTTTTATTGCTGAATAATATTTCATTGTATGGATATGCCACATATTTTGCCTATTCATCAGTTGACATTTGGGATTTTTCCACATTTTGGCTGTTATGACTAATCCTGCTGTGAACATTCTTGTACATGCTTTTATGTGGACATATGTTTATATTTCTCTTGAATATGTACCTAGGAGTGAAATTGCTGGGTCAACTGGTAACTCTCTGAACATTTTGAGGAATTTCCAGTCTGTTTTCCAGTGTGGCCACAACTTTTTACATCCCACTAGTAGTGGGTGAGGGTTCCAGTTTCTTTACATAGTTGCTACCACTTGTTATTCTGTCTTTTCTATTGTAGCCATCCTAGTGGGTATGAAATGGTATGTCATTATGGTTTTGATTTGCATTACATTAATTTTTTAATATTAGACATACCATTTATCTTTAGCAAGTAATTTATCCATTTTATCTAAGTTGATGAATTTATAATTTACCAACTTTAAAAAATATAATATTTCTTCATTAGCCTTGTAATGTCTGTGGGATCTGTGGTAATGTCCTGTCTTTCATTTTTGATATTAGAAATGTGTCTTCCCTTTTATTTTTTCTTGATTGGATTACTTATAGGTTAACAATTTCATTGATCTTTTCAAAGAACCAACGTTCAATTTCATTTATTTTTTTTCTCATTTTTTGTTTGTTTTGTATTTCATTGAATTCCACTTTTTTCCTTCTTGTATTTCATTGAATTGAACTGTGACCTTCTGGTTCATAGGTCAGTGCTCAACCACTGAGCACACCAGGTGGGCCACATATGTGTGTTTTTTTTAGCCTGAGAGTAAGTTGTATAATCTTAACTCTTTTGTTGTCGTTGTTAATCCTTACTTGAGGATATTTCTTCCATTGAGTTTTAGAGAGAGCGGAAGGGAGGGAAGAAGGGACGGGAAGTGGAGAGAGAGAGAAACATTGATTGATTGGTTGCCTCCTGCATGTGCCCCAACCAGGCCTGGTATTGAACCTGTAACCCAGATTCGTGCCTTGACTATGAATGCAACTTAAGACCCTTTGGTGCTCCGGTGGATGCTCTAACCACTGACTGGGATACACCGTCTAGGGCTCATCTTGACTTTTTATCTCTAAATATTTATTGTGTATTTCCTAAGAAAAAGGATATTCTCTCTTATATAGTTATCAACCTCAGTAAATTCAACTTTGTTACAGTACTTTATTATCTCTATTCCGGTTTCAGCAATGGACCCAAAAATGGCCTTTGTAGATTTTCTTCCCCTCCAGTGCATGATCCGGTTTTGGATCACATCCTGCATTCAGTTATAATATCTTTTCAATCTTTTTCAATTTGGAACAGCCTTTCTTTGTCTTTTTATGACATTGGCATTTTACTAGTAAAAGAATATAGTCTTTGTGTTTTGTTTTTCTCCCTCAAATAAACTGTTTCTCATTTTGACTTTGTCTAATATCTATACTAATAAAAGGGTAATATGCTAATTAGACCAGACGTCTTCCGGACATCCGTTTGGACAAAGCCACAGCAGCTAAGAAGTGGAGGCGGCACTGCTGTGGGAGCAGGAGTGGGAGTGGAGCCGGTGGCGCTGCCCCTTTCACAGAGGCGGCGCAGGAGAGGCCACGGTGCGGGCCGGTCCAGTGCCTGGGCCCCTTCTGCAGAGGCAGCGGGAGAGGGGCCTGCACAGTCTGGGTCTCAGTGCTGCCCCTTCCACAGAGGCAGCGACGTGGGCCTGGTCCCAGGGCTGTGCCTCCGCAGAGGCTGGGCGGGGTGGGACCTGCTGTGCCTCAACCTCTCACAGCCCCTCCCCCAGCCGGCCTGGCCCCAGATCGCTCCCCACCCACCAGTGGGCAGGGGGCAGGGCCAGTGCTAAGAAGCAAGGGCCCAGGGCCGGCAGCTGCAGCAGCCGGCAGCAGCAGCGGCCGGCAGTGGCCACAGCAGTGGGACTTCCCATGATTGGCCCAGTCACCTCCCAAAAAGGGAGGCCAGACTGTGGCTTAGACCCACTGTCAGTAGGATATCCCCTGAGGGCTCCCAGACTCTGAGAGGGGGCAGGCCTGAGGGATTCCCCCTCCCCCCATGCATGAATTTTTGTGCACCGGGCTTCTAGTTTTCTTATAATAACATTCAGGTTGCACATTCCTGAATGTTGATGAACTGCTGACTACTCCTTCCTGTATTTGATTGGTTTCAATACTCTATGAACACAATATAAGTAATGTTCTGTCCTTTTCAGAACATCAGTAACAGCCAGAGGTATTCAACATCTTTGTGCCCCTCAATGTGATTGCAGGTTTGATCACCTTGTCAATTTCTCCATTGTATAGTCTCCCCCTTGATACTAATAAGAAGACTGTATAATAACATTTTAATACCATAAAAATATTCTATATGTCATTAAAATATTACCCCAGTATTTAGCATTCATTGGTAATTTTATCTTCTCTCATAGTTGCAAAATGATCATTTTCTAACGTCAGCACTCCTTTCAAATTTGCCAGTTGCCACTTGCCATGATTCTGAAAATAAGAGCCCTCTTGTTTTTTTTTCTTAGTCTATAATCAGTGTAGATTCACATATTTATAACTTATGGTCACCCTTATATTGGTTTTATGTTTTTCCATATTTGGCTAGTGGGAGCTTCTTTATTTTATATATATATATGCATATATATTATTATATATATGTATTAAATCATAATATGCTAATTAGACCAGACATCCTTCCGGACAACCTTCTGGACGAAGCCAAGGCTGTGAGGGAAACCCTGATCCCAGGTGCCAGAGGGAAGTAGGCACCGGCAGCCAGGGGAAGGAAGGCCTACTCTTGCATGAAATTTGTGCAAGGGACTCAGCCCTGGCAGCCCGGCTGTTGTGTGGGCCTGGCTGCCTTGTGGTCCCATGGCCCTGCCCACTTATTATGAGCCATTTCCCTGAGGACCTTTACTTCTTATTTTTTTGCAAACCAGGATATGTTGCCTTTGCTTCCAGGTGCTTTCAACATATGGAACTCAGGAATATATTTATACATCAGATTTATCTATATGAAAGAATTCCAGATTTTTTATTTTAATAAATTTTTTTATTCCTCTCTACCCAGCCTTCCCTCTTCCCTCCTCCCTGGCCTGGGCTGAAGCTATATAGTCAGATACTGTATTGATAAGTTCCTTTTTGTCTCCCTTCATTATAGTTATATTACTTATTTGAAATATAGTGGGATTCATTTATTTTACTTTGTTTACAATTTTTGTTATTGCTATTTAGTAACCCCCTTTAAAGTACAAGAAATTAACAACTTAAATGTAACTTTTAAAAGATGTATTTTTATAATGGACCTATGTCTGTCATAAAAGTATTACATATAATAGTAGTTTTGTCAGCTTTTGTTTCAAGAGTGTTCCTAATTGCTCCTTGAAGCATTTTTATGATGGTAACTTTAAAATTCTTGTCAGATAATTCCAACATCTAAGTCATCTTTAGTGTTGGTATCTGTTGATTGTCTTTATTCATTTAAGTTGTGATTTTCCTGCTTCTTACTATGACAAATGTTTCTGTTTTATCCTGGACACTTTGAGTATAATGGTATGAGATTCTAGAACCTATTTAAATATTCTGTCATATCAGTCAGTCACCCTGTTTTTTAGTTAGCACGCAGATCCTGGCCTACTTTTGTGGGCTGTGGTTCTGATAACAATTTAGTTTTCAGAGCTGATGTCGTGTCATTCTGGTCTATCTCCTGTCACTGCTACCTGGAGGCCACTCTGAAACCTGGTGTTCCATACTGTGGTTCAGTTCTCAGACCTTTTGCCATATTCTAGACTTTTAGTCAGGGCTGTGTCCAGGACTTCCTGTGCAGGTTTAAAGAATGCTTTTCTCCAGGTTTTTCTTGGGGCTTTTCCCACCCTTGTGCCTGTTGGTGATTCTGGGTGGCATGCATCACCAAAGAATAGTCTCAAATATATAGAAGATAAAAGAAAAATTGGAGACCCCATAGTGGTGGTGGTCCTCAAATTATTAGATCCTTAGTTCATTTTCCTCCTTCCACTTTTCAGAGTTCTCTTATTGTGTTATATTTGGTTATACTTAATAGGGGAGAATATGAGAAATGAGAAGGCAGTGAGTCTAGTTTAAATCCAGTTCTTGTTTATATATTTTAAATTTCTGTTTCAGGTGCAAACACATTGGAGATTATGTCTGGTGAATTGATTCCTTCCTATAATTTCCCTCTTTATTCCTGTTAACATTCATTGTTCTGAAGTCTCTTGTGCTTCATGTTAATCTAGCTATTTCAAGTTTTTTAAAATCTGTATTTATATATCTCTTTCCATACTTTATTTTGACTTATCGATGCCTTTTATTTAAAACTAGAGGCCAGGTGCACGGAAATTCATGTACTTGGCGGGTTGGGGGTCCCAGCCTGCACCCTCTTGCAGTCCGGGAGCCCTTGGGGGATGTCCAACTGACGGCTTATGCCTGCTCCCCATAAGCCACAGTTTGGCCTCCCTCTGCAGGAGGTGACCGGCAGACCAATCGGGAGATGGTGCCATCCGGCAAGTGGCTGGCCCTGCCGCCCCGATCGCCCCTCTGCCACTGCTGGTCGCTGCTGCCCCCTGATCACTGTCCCCTCCCTCTGCCTGCTGGCATCCACCTTGGCTGACCTACCCCCGCCCACTCACTGGCTCCGCCCCCTGCTGACCGGTCATTCTGCTGTTTGATCAATTTGCATATTAGGCTTTTATTATATAGGATGGGTTCTCTATTGAAAGCATATAGTGTGGCCTTTCTTTTTTATCTAATCTTCATTCTCTGTCTCTTATTGGTGCTTTTAGGACATTTACATTTAATGTAATTATGATACAGTTGGTTTTAACCTTATCATATTGCCAATTATTTTGTTTGTTTTATATGCTTTTTGTTTCTTTTACCTTTTTTTGCTGTCTTTTGGATTGAGTATTTTTATTACATCTTATTTTTACTGTTGGCTTATTGTTATTACTTTGTTGTTGTTAATGCTCACCTGAGGATATTTTTTTCATAGATATTTAGAGAGAATGAAAAGGAGGGAGAGGGAAAGATAGAGGGAGGGGAGTAGGGAGAGACCTAATTAACATTGATTATATGTGTTTATTTTAACAGCTGCTGAAATAGTTCAAGAACTTGAAAATATGGAGAAGACTAGGATGCGTCTTGAAGCTAGTAAACTCAGTGAAAGAGTATGTTATGGTCTATTTCAGTATCTGGGTAGAAATAAAGGAAAGTTGAATACTCTGTTAAAATTAAAGCAAGCCAGAATGTACTAGAACACATTTTTACTTAAAATATTATGATTTATCTGCAGCTCATTTTTTAGCACAAAATTCTGTCATAATTAGCAGTCTTCTAGTACAGAATGCAATCTAGAGTTTATTAATGGTTAATAGTCTTTAGAAAAAGCAATGCCTACATATCAGCCTTTTCTCTGCTCGTTGTATTTGATAAGCTATTTAACCTCTGCTTCCCTTACCATCTTCATCTGTAAAATTTCGGGATTGAACTCTATGATCTCTAAGATCCCCCTTTAGCTCTGTTACTCTGCCATTCCATGATGGTCCTGATTGAGAAATTAAGTAATTGTAGGAGTTTATAGAATATCTATTGAGCTTATTGAGGGAATCAAAAACCTAAAATGGTTCACTATTTCCTTCCTCTAGTGTGATGGCCCAAAACTTGAGGAAAGGATGTCAAGGAAGAAAATAGTCATGTGTCCTAGACACTGTAGGCAGTGTTTTGGGCTCTCCCAAGTAGACTTTTCCCCCAGACCATCGATAATGTGTTTGTAGGGGGAGTGAGCTTATAATCAATAGTAGGAAACAATGAGATTTGCATTAACTTTTTTACTACCTGAGTGCTAACTGTAAGATGGAGACGGTAGTGAGTCATGTAAGTACACTTGATTTTTTAAGTCTCAGATGTGAAAAAGCGGAACTATAAATGTAACATTTCTTGTATTTTCCCTATATATTACATTTCTTACAGATTTGGAGAAGTTAGGCTGGAAAACATAGAAGGCAGACAAGAAAATCTGCCTTATTAATGATCTGCTAAATGTCTCTAGTCTTGTAGTTTAAAGTGTTTTGTAGTTTGTTGTATTAATGAGTGTGAAAAAGTTACCTATTTAAAATAGGAAATTAATTGATTGTTGTATTAATACTTTATGTCTTCTAAAGGCATTCGTGTTGCATTTTCTACTGATGAGAAATAAGTAATGAGTAAAATATATGTTAATTATGATATTCAAGGGAAATGTGCAGGAGTCACTTTTCCTAGGTCTATTTGAAGCAAAAATGAGCAATTATTTTACTCTATTTAAACATCCACATTTGAGATTTTAAAGTTTATAGTACTGATTTCTATTTTTGTCATTTAATGAATTTTTAATTAAGATTTTTATTTTATTTTAGGTAATGGTTTTTACGAAGGACCAAACAGAAAAGGAAATAGATGAAATCCACAGTAAATACCGTAAGTTGTAGGAGGTTTTCTTTATTTGCAAAGAATCTAGGTTGCAGTTTTTTATCTTAAAGTTTTAAAATAAATTTTTTACATTAATGTTTGGTATACACTAATCTTGTTAATATTACTTAAGAGACTGAATTTAGTTGTGCTTATTCAGACAGGGACCTTTTTTATAAGTCAGTGCGCCTGCTTTTTGATTTGTGACTAGCATTCTACTTTGAGCTTATCACTAAGCACTTTGCAAATATTAATTAGTTGCTCTCAAAGCATCTTTGTGAGAAGAAAATGGGGTTAAAATGGAAGCATTTCTGACTTTCCTGTTCTCAAGCCACTCAATGACAATACTGTAAAGAATTTCAGCACTAATAGCTTGCACATTTGTGCCAAAAAGAGTCTTCATTTTATTAGGTATTAACTTCCTAACTTTATCACTTCCTTTTTCTTAAATGGCCTTGTATATATATCTTTCCTAGGGCTAGCTCATTACTGTTTTGTCAGTTAGGTAGCTGTTATCCTTTGTTTAATTGGTTTGTTTTTAGCTTAAATTTAAATTTAAGTGCTTGGCAAACAGTAGATAGTTAATAAGTATTTGTTGAGTGGGTATATCACAAATACAATGTTTTGGTTGTGCTAAGAGAATTTTGTCTTCTTTTTTCAGTTCTTTAGTTTTGAAGGGGCAGATTCAGCAGTGGTCTATTTGGGGAGGGAGGATGCAGAAGTACAGAGGCACTAGATGTAGATGTGATGGCTTGTGCTGAACAACAAGTCATGTCTCTGTTGCTAGAAAGATAAGTATGGTGTGATTTTTTAAAAAACCAACTTTTGGGAAGCCAAAGTGATTTTTCTTGAGACAGGAGGTAGACAACCAAATGATCACTGATTTGGCAAAATTAAGGCCTGTAACGATAAGGAAAACAGAAAATTTGCATGAAAAAAAAGTAATTTAAATCACTAAAAGAGTGGTATCTAACAAATATGCCTCACTAAGAAAGAAGTGGATTAGATGCAAGAAAGACAATATACAAATATCTATTGCCCACTATTAAATATCTAAAAAGAGCTTTACTTTACTAAACAGGTCATGTTAAGCTAATTAGTTTAGCCCTAAAATACCTCAAAATATACTTTAAAAAAACAACAAAAAACCCCCCACAAAACTTTCAGGCTCTTCTAAAGCTTAAGTTCTTACTATGTAGTCATACATTTTGGTTTAGTGTTGGGCTTTCAATGTACTGTTGATTTCTTTTAAACATTTTAATTAATGTTTTACATGCATGTCTTGTGTTTTTTTAAAAATTTGATTTTAAAGACAGAGGAAGGGAGAGGGAGATAGAAGAGAGAGAGAAGAGAAAGGGGAGAGGTGGAGGGAGCACCCTAGGAATCTGCAGAAAGTTCACCTTGGTTATTCGTTCAGCATATAAAGTATACTTTTCTGACTATTACTGAAGAAGGACCTGGACCCGGTGGGTCTGCCCTGGCATGGTCTGGAAATAGGATTCTTCTGAGGTGTTTCAGGAAAAGAATTTTAGGACAGGCACATAGGAGGAATTTAAGTGGCAAGATTTATTAGAGTGAGCGAGGTCGTACACCCTTGGAGAGGCAGAGAGCAGGTTGACTATAGTAGTGGCCTTGTGGACAGAGGCAAAAGGAGAGTCCTCTGCCAATGCTTGCTGCTCCCCTGGTGGCAAGTCTGGTGGTGATCCTTAGAGTTTAGGAGGAAAGAAGGCAAAAAGTACATGCCCGAAAGAAGGGCATGGGCATGCTCCAAGGAGGGCGCTGGGTTTTTCTCTAGCTTCTATATATTTCCTTGAGTTCAGAAAAGAGCAGGCTTTCTTTTTAACTATTCAGTCTTCAATCTCTCTCCTGACTTTTTCCCAGGCAGTGCCAATGCCCTCCCCCATCCAATCTCATTCCAGATCCTCGGGTTTTGTGGCCTTATCCTATTAGATCTTTTCCCCAGACTTCCTCAGGCTAGTCCCCTCCCCCTTTATGGTTGCCATTTTGGCTTCTAATGCTCATGCAGTCAGTGAAAGGACTCCCCTGGTCCCCTTCTTTTTACCTCCCTGATCATTCAGGTGAAATGGTGCAGGTTGCTCCTGGGGTGACTGAAAAGTATCTGCCTAGAGTGACTGAAACTATCCTTTTCTAGTTAATCCGGCTTAATCAGATGTCTGGTTCCATTTGCGCCCTCCCTTTTTGTTAATGTCTCGCAAACTGCTGACTATAACGTGACCACAATAGAATTAAATTGGAAATCAGTAACAAAGCCTTCTGGAAAACTGCCAAATATTTGGAAACTAAGCAGCACACTTCCAAATAACTCATGGATCAAAGGAAAATTAAAACCAAGAAATTTCAAAATTATTTATTAACTCATTTAAAAATAACAAATCCATTACATATTAACATAATCTGATAGAAAATAATGTTCCCAAAACAACAAAAAAAATCAAAATAAATGGAATTTTCTACTAGCCCAGATAGTATAACATAGACTATATTTACTTTCCTTCATTAATAAACTAGAAAACCTGATTAAATGTATGAAGCAATGGTTTTTTAGATAGATAGTGAGGAAAAGTAGCACAGGATTGTGATTCCTGAAGGAAAGAAAACTAAGTGGTGAGCTCTCTAGTTCCAGAGCTTACTGCCTAGAGGCAGTTTTCAGGCATTGGGTAGGAGAACCCCAAAATACTCTGGTGGGTCGCTGAGTAGGTAAACCAGAAATGAAAGTTGTGGGAGGCCAAGGTGCTAGAATTTGTGGGACAGCTTACCAGAGAGGAGAGAACCTCAGATAGACGAGAGCTCTATATGATGCATAGAAGATCCTGTTAAGCTTTTGGCTGCCTAGCAATTTGCACATAAATGAGAGGAAAGTGCCTGAGACTAGGGAAAGGCTACTTGAAAGGATTAGCTCCAGAACAATTTCTGGAGCTCACAAAGGGCCTGAAACAATTTGAATCCATCACAAGCCCTAATACAAAAAAAAAAAAACCCTCAAAATGTATGGGGACCTCAGACAGAATCCTCAGAAAGTTTTTATTACTTTAGTAGCTGGGCTAATCTAATCTACCTTAGGGCCAGATAATAAATATTTTAGGCTTTGCAGGCTATATATGGTCTTTGTCAAATGTTCTTATTGTTAACACATCTTTGTAAAAATATAAAAGGCATTCTTAGCTAGAGAGCCATACAAAAATATGCCATAGGTTGGATTTGGCCTTTGGGCTGTTATTCGTTGACTTCTTTACACTAATGGTTGTACTAATTTTCTCTAATGAAAAGATTTTTTTAAAAATAGACTTTAATTTTAGAGTAAAACGTAATATTGAGGGGAAAATGCGCGAGTTCCTATATCTCCCTGATGTACAGATGCACCATCTCTCCTGCCATCAACATCTCTCACCAGAATGGTATACTGACATGTCATTATCACAAAGTGCAGAGTGTACATTAGTGTTCACTCTTGGTGGTATATATTCTATGGGTTTTAACAAATATATAATGACATATACCTACCATTATCTTATCATACAGAATACTCACTGTGCTTTATTTATTGATCCCTCCTTTTTTCCTAGGCCCTGACAACCACTTATCTTTTCACTGTCTTTATAGTTTTTTCTTTTCCACAATGTCATGTAATTGGAATTATACAGTATACTAGAGTCCCAGTGCACGAAATTCATGCCCGGGGAGGGGGTAGTCATCCCTTAGCCCGGCCTGCAACGACACTTTCGTCCCTCGCCCCGGCCTCTGGCCTGGGGCCCTCCCTTCCCTCCGCGCAGCTGGGGCGCGGATGCTGGGCTCACGTTGCCAGAATGACGCTGCCAGTGACCTGCCCTGGTCACTATGGGCGCTGCCATCTTTGTCATGGAGTGATGGTTAATTTACATATTACTCTTTTATTAGATAGGATGATAGCCTTTTCAGGTTGTCTTCTTTCTTAGTAATGTGCATTTCAGGTTCCTCTGTGTTTTTTCTTGACTTGGTAGCTTATTTCTTTTTAGCCTTGAACAATATTCCATTTCCTGGATGTACTATAGTTTATTTATCAATTTACCTACTGCTTCTTTTGGCAATTATTTAAAAGGTTCCTTTACGTTCTTGTGCAGCTTTTTGTGTCAACATAAGTTTCAACATATTTGGATAAATACTAATGCATGTGAGTGCTAGATCATAAGGTATCTTTAGTTTTGTAAGAAATTACCTTTTTTAAATCTCTGTACCATTTTGCATTCCCATCAGCAAAGAATAAGAGTTACTGTTGCTTCTTTTTTTTTTTTAAATATATTTTATTGATTTTTCACAGAGAGGAAGGGAGAGAGATAGAGAGTTAGAAACATCGATGAGAGAGGTACATCGATCAGCTGCCTCCTGCACATCTCCTACTGGGGGTGTGCCCGCAATCCAGGTACATGCCCCTGACCGGAATCGAACCCGGGACCCTTCAGTCCGCAGGCCGACGCTCTATCCTCTGAGCCAAACCGGTTTCGGCAGGAGTTACTGTTGCTTCTTATCCTCACCTGCATATGTGTTGTTAGTGATTTGGATTTTTGCCATTCTAATAGTTGCTGTTGTTTTTTTTAAATGTACAGTTATCTAATGACATGTAATGTTGAGCATTTTTTCATATGGTTATTTGCCATCTGTATATCTTTTTCCAGCAAGTCTATGTTCAGATCTTCAGCCCATTTTTTAAATTGGGTCATTCATTTTCTTCTTGACTTTTGGAAGTTCTTTGTATATTTTGGATAACAGTCCTTTATCAGATATGTCTTTTGCAAGTATTTTCTCCTGGTCTGTGGGTTGTCTTCTCATTATCTTCATAATCTGCCCTATTAAAAATTGAAAGCAAGCCTTGGAATGCTTCAGTCGATTCTAAGTAGCTTGATATTCTTCAAAACAAAATATAATACAGTTTAAGGATAGGACAAAATCTAGCAACCAAGAGAATAAAATTAATAGTATTTAGTATCCTATTGAAATTACCAGGAATTCAAAGA